ACTTTTGAAAAAGTTGACACAAATACACCAAAGTGACTGAAGTAAAACTAAGTTTGAGGAGAAATATAAGAACCTAATTGATAAGAGATAAAAAAAATTTAATCAGCCTTCATTCACAAGTCATTTTTACTGGATGAGATCAATGTTTTGCTGATCATGACTGAATGCACCTGAATTGTTGTGACTCATTAACCTACTTTGTAAAGTCATTCAGGGTCACTACTGAGGGGCTACAGGGGACAACATCTTTCACTCACTACACTGTGGACACTGTGTGCATTGTTATAATTATTGTTTGGTGAAACTGACCCTCGCTGTGCCTCCTGAAAGGTATTTAATATTGACCTAGATGAAAGCAACAAATATCTGGGTAATGTTCTGGAAAACAAATTGTTTTTCGAATCCCATGTTGGTGCTACCTCGAGAAAGGTCCAGCAAAGACTTTTTTTCCTGAGAAAGTCTTCTCTAAACCTCCAACTCTACTGAGATGACGACCCTGTTTTACAGAAGTTTTATTGAATCTGTTTTAACCTTCTGCATTATTGCTTGGTTTGGAAACCTAATTCTGTCCAACAAGAAAAGACTTGAAAGTCTTAGGGAGGGAGTCAGGCCAAGCGTTCAGTCATTTATAACAGGGAGGAGGGCTAATGCTATATTGGACAGCCAGGACCATCCACTCCAGAGGGAGTTTGAGTTATTGTCCTCAGGCTGCCATTCCAGGGCACCTGTTTGGATGACTAAAAAACTCCATATCTCTTTCGTCCCTAGTGCTATCAGTATGCAATAACAAATAGCACTCTGACTGTATTCCTTGCATTACCTTGGCACATTTGCATATTTGCACACTTGCATTCCATGTATGCATTTCCATTTCCTTGCACTATCTATGTGATGTAGTATTGATACTGTTGTTGATGTCTTTTTGTGTCTGTGTGTCCTTTTGCAGCTATATGTCTGTCTGTCATTATGTGAACATTGCTGCATAATGCATTTCCCCTCATGGGACAATAAAGAACCTTGACCTTGAAATGTATAGTTTCATATGTGTAATTGTTGTACCAGTGTACTGATTAGATGGAAATGTGGCTCCATCTTGTGGTTGTACGTATTACAGTAAGTACCATGCGGCTTGGTTGAGCACTATTATTTTAGACTGTTCTAGTTTAACATGTAACACAGTCACTGCAGTGTGACCACAAACAATACAGCTCTACTGTGTGTCCTGCAGCAAGGAGCATAAAATGTGCAGATCAGTAAAAAAAAAAATGTAATGAGTTGTCAAGCCTTATTTCCTTAAATGTGTCTACATTACTGTAAGAAATCCAAATTCTGAAATCACCCCTGAGTTTTGGTTCTGCTTTCTGCCTGTTAAAAGGAAGTTTTCCCTTGACACCATCGCCATGTGCTTACTGATGATGGGAATTGCATTAATGTGACAAGCATTGCAAGGCCTAATAAAAACAGCATTTCCATCTCAGCATACATTAAAATCACAAAGGCTTGTGCTGACATCTAGGGGTCGCCAGAGTCAATACATCTCTCAAGATGTGTGAAATGTGTTCATTAAGCATGTTTGGAAATAATGAGATGTTTTTTACCCTATTAGAAAGACAAACAATAAATACAGTGCAGGTTTACAATTCTTCAACTATTAATATTATTATTATTATTGTTGTTGTTATTATTATAAGGTGATGACTGAGATGATAGTATACTGTTGTCTCCGATATCTTTCCAAAACAAGTTTACTGTGCACATCACAGTAAAACTTTCTCTTGATGTCTCCAAGTTATTTTTCTTTTTTTATCTTTATTTTCTTCCACACTTTTTTCACAATAAAAATAAGTTTTCTAATTATGCAAGTTTGTTTTAATGTTTCTTGTTAATTTCTCCAACCTAAAAGTTTAATCTGCCTTAAGAACTTCCCAGGTCACAATTCTCAATCTCAATTCTTTGAGAATGATCTCAGTAGGCACTCATTTAAGACACATTTTATCGATACATTAATTTCTGGCATTACATAGATCTATCATACAGTAATGAAACCCAGTATACACAGCTGGAGATACCAAGATACAACAAGCATGGCAGTTGTGAACTAAATGTATCAAGATACATCACTGCTTCACTATAAATTTAAACATAGTGTTATAAGGATTTATTTCTTTGTAGGTCTATATACTTGTGACAAGAAAGCAGAAAGAAAGCAGGAGGATCTGACCAATTAGGCCAATTGGCCTAAATTATATAGACTGATATGAACTTTTCTTGGTTAAGGGCAATGCACAAGGCACCAGCATAGAAAAACCATTAGTTGGACAAACTGTATAGTTTATCTTCACAGTTGGCACAGATCAAACAGCTGATCTGTAAAGCAGGACTCATAGGTATGTATGATCGGCTAAACAGGCTATCTATTGTGTTATGAAGCCCAGCCAAAATGGGTGGCGGGTCTAATTTAAATACGAGCAGCACTTGAAGGCAGCACGCTACCCCGTCTTGTTGGCGTGTGACACTACTGTCCTCCTCTAGTCCAGCTCCCGTCTCCAAAGTGTCTGACTGCCGGTGGGGTGTGTCTGCTGGAGATAGTGGTGGCGAAAAAGCAGCTCCATCAAGTGAGCCATAACCAGACAGAATACCGGAAGTTTCGCTGTTTTTCTGTAAAATAAAAGCACAGTAGGCCTAACGCCTGCCACTGTCGATTCTTGTTCAAACAGGCAATAAAGAACTGACTGTGTATGTAGCCTATACTCTTATGCAAAACATAAATACTGCTGAGAATAGAAAAGAAAATTAAATGTTAGAAATGTAAATGCATGTGGTAAATGGGTGGTGATGGCGCATTGGATAAGACACATGCGGGGGCGGACTGGGACAAAAATTCAGCCCTGGCACTGTAGCCACGCCAGCCCACCTTACCACACATCCCCACGAACACACATTCACTACATTTGTGTAAAGATGGTGAGATAATATAAGCAGTAGGCCTACTGTATGAAAAAGCAAGGGCGTCACTTTGTGTTGTAAAGAATTGGTGACATAAGGTCAGAGATTAGTGGTGTGATGAAAGACTTTGGTCATGAGAATAAGAGGAGAAGATATTTTAACACTATTTTGAAGAAATATTCGATGATAAAATGTATGTGTATCAGGTGCAGAAGATTTTGAGCATTAAACTCTTAATTTTCTGCATTCTGGAGACATTTTCTGCACCAATTTATGGAGTAAATGTCTTTATTTATATCAATGGCAGCACAAAATTCAGCAGGTGACAATTCAAAATATAACAATAAAATGGAATATAATGCATTAATCAGTAGCTTTTTTTTGTTGCTGAAGTAACTTCAGTAACTGCACATTTGTTTCTTCTGTATTCAAATTGCATTGCATGTTTCTTATTGTGCAAGTAAACCTTTCTCAAAGCATTTTCATTCAGCCTACAAGAATACCGGGGATCTCTATCTGTGCCGATTCCAGCAACGTCCATGAACACTTTAGTCAAACATTGCAGAAAAATGTTTTCTCACACACTGCTCTCAACATTGGAATACACATATTCCACATATAAATAAAAACATTACTCACTAGTCTCCTTAATTCTGCTCTCCTTGCCTTCACTTCTAATATTTCCACACAAGCAAGGAACAGACACCTCTGCTGCAAACACAGCAGCTTGCCCTAGCTAGCTACCTCTTCCTTTTTCTCTCTCCCTGTATTTGTCGGCCCTTTTGACTTTCTCCATCAGCAGTAGGCTGTTTTATAAAGTGGCCAAAATGACACAGCACTCGCGATTTTCACCCGCCATACCGTTTTCACCCACGAGTGCGCAGAGGAGGCTTGTTAATGAGGAAGCCAATCAAAACCAACACCCACATTGTACTCAGTTGCACCTGCACTTAAGTGTTCACTGTTGCGTTAGGAAACCTGGTCCGTGCTTGTGAAATATTCACTGTCTGAGTCTTATAACGTAATGGACGATCATTTCTCTCAGTGTTTCTCTGCAAAATGCTTAAATGGGTCTCCAAGTAAAGCTGATGTGTGGGAAACACTGATATTAATATCAATCTGACCAGCCCACCCAAAAACAAATAATCTGGCCCCTCTGGCATCTGCCAGAATTGCCAGGTGGCCAATCCACCCCTGGACACATCCCTTTGGTGTGAGAAACCCGGGTTTGATTCCCACTGTGACACCAACAAAGTGTCCCTGAGCAATGTACTTAGCCCCCATTTGCTCCAGACATGCGACTTCTGACATAAATAGCAACTGTAAGTGGCTTTGGATAAAAGCGTCAGCTAAAATGAATGTAAAAACTGGAAAACTTGTGAAGATAAATTATATGAAAACAGTCACTAACTGTTGCAGGGCCACAAGCGATCACCATCATTTCCCCGCTTAGAACTAGAAACGTTGAGAAGGTTTTGCCAGATCAAGAGAACATCTTTTTTTCAAAAGCATAGGACTCCTGAATATTAAACTTGTGCTTGTTTAATGTATCATCCCAAACAACATGCCTATTACACTACTGATATAACAGCCTCTTCTGCTTTCAGGTTTTCCACCATATCTTTGCAACCTGTCTGCTGAGATTTGTTCCCATCAGCCACAAGAGCATTAGTGAGGTCCAGTACTGAACACAATAAGAAAATACATATGAAATAAAATTTCAACAGGAAAATACAAGATGTAAGTAGGCCTATAAGACTCATACAGCTAAATGAGAATAAATCTGCAAAGCACTAGAAAGTAGGGTAGGCCTACATTTCCCTCTGAAATGTAGTGGAGTAGAGGAATAACGTAAGAAAACGCAGTGGAGTAGAAGAATTTAAGTAGCCTAACTCAAGTACTTAGCCCAAGTATTGACTAAATGTATTTCGTTACATCCATAGACTGTATAAGGTTACATCCCACCACTGTCTATCGATCTAGCCAGCTATCTTTTACTTTGAAAGTTTTGACCGGAGCTATATTTTAAAACTCCCTCGCGCTTGACGTTGGAGGAGGAAAACTGTAGAGCTCACGCTTCATCAGACACCTTTGTAGACAAGAAGACGCCGCGCGCACGACGCACGTGCGAGGGTAAAATGCAGATAAATAACCGGAATGTTCTCACGAGTCTGGAGTTGACTGTAATGTAACAGTAGTTTTGGGAGAAGAAGCGCCATGAAGAAACACCTGAGTCCCACAAAACAGCAGCAGCAGCAGCAGCAACAACCACCACCGGCTGAAGTCCCGGTTCCAGGCGGCGAGGTTACCGTCCAACAACTCAACGAGCTCCTGTCCAACGGCAGCGGCTTTTACAGCTTACCCACACAACACTTTAACGAGGTCTTCCCGAGAATATACATCGGTAACGCGTGAGTCATTTATCACTTCCTCTGAATTATTATTATTATGCTGTCGGTGACACTGACAGGTGGGACAGGTTATTTTGAGACGCTCCGACCAGACACGACAATGACAACAGTGTCGCATGCCGGGCAGCACGCACGCAGGGCGGGCTTGTTATTTTGGTGTCCCCGCTATCACCGTGGACAAAGCGACAGCCTGTTGTTGTCAACAAATTGTGCTGTTGTCCCCGAAATAGCCTCCCAGCCTGTACCAGCGGCGTCAACAAGCCTGAGCAGCCAGACAGGTGGATATTGTGTAACAGTATAACATGATAATAATCCGTATTTTGGAGGCGTAATCGATTTTTTCCCCCCATTTAAAGCACGTACAGTCATAGTAACCCCCCCTCCCCGATTGAGGACGCACACACACAAATATGGAGACGTTTTTTACTCAATGAATACCTCTATTATTATTGTCACTGCCATGTAATCACGTCTTCATCGAGCCGCTCCCATTCCGTCCAGCTGGGCTGCAGGGCCACAGCAGTCATCACATCTAGAAAGGGGGCTTGTTTTCATTCATGACCTGCTGAAAAAACACAACAGGCGGTCTGGTGGGTTCCTGCAGAACAAAGAGGGAGCACGTGAATTTTGCAGCCTTGTAGTAGAGAGTGGGGATGTGGTGTTGTTATGAGCTGAAATGTGGTGAGTTAAAGCTAAACTCATTACAGCGAACACCTACCTCGACAACCGGAGACCACAAATACAGCTCTACTGTTTGTCCTGCAGCAAGGATGAGCATCTAATTTGCAGATCAATAAATATGTAATGAGTTGTCAAACTGTATGTCCCTCAAATTTGTCTATATTAAGCTTACTGTAAGAAATCCAAATTCTGAAATCACATGCCACCTTGAAAAGATTCTGCTGAGGTTTCTGCCTGTTAAAAGGCAGTTATTCATTGCCACTGTCGCCAAGTGCTTGCTCAGGGTGGGAATTGTTGGGTCTCTGTAAATAATATTACAAAGAGTACAGTTTAGACTCGTTTTATATAAATAGTGCATTGAGAAAACTTCTGTTGTGAATTGGCACTAAATAGCCTAAATAAGAGTAAAATTAATTGATGAATGAAATCTTTTTAAGCATTATACACCTTTATGGCCCAAATTGTAACCATGTATGTTGGAGTTGAGACAAAAACACAACATAACTCGTATTTAATTAGTAGTTTTAGAGGTCCCCCTACATTAGAGATAATACACCTGATCTAAGGTAATTTTCATATTCTAGAGAGGACAAAATTAAGTGATTAATTGAGTCTCTCAACAGAAAACTAATCTGCTACTGTTTTGATACTTGATTAATAAAGTTATTTTTAAAGCTAAGATGTCAAATATTACATTATTCACCTTCTCAGTTGTGAGCTTTTTCTGCTTTTCTTTTGTCTTATGAGTTAGTAAAACTGAATATGTTTGGGGTTTGGACTGTTGGTTTCCACAATTTTCTGACATTTTTATGTGCCAAACAAATTATCTAGATAATATTTGGCAGATTTATCATTTTTAAAAGTAATCGTTAGTTGCAGTTCTACATCCTTATATCCAAGGTCACTTATCACATTGTGAAAGGTGCTGAGCAATACAGCCCAATCAATACTGTAATTTTTGAGGCTGTTACTAATTTTCACGATTAATTGGTATATGAAACATTATAAAACAATGAATGGTTGAAGGTGATTTAATGTCTAGTTTTTTTGTATTCAGATTTGGACTGTTGGCTAATGATCAGCTGGTAGTTAGTTGGTTTTTAACATGAACATATTACATAAACAAATTTTTTTTATAAGGATCTCTGTAAAGGACTGTAAAGGATTTAGGGCTGCAACTAACAATTCAATTCATTATTATAGACTATAAAATGTAAGAAAAAATATAATCACAATTTCCTATAACCTCAAATTGCTTGTTTCACCAGACCAACAATCCAAAACCCAAGGATATTCAGTTTACTTTCACATAAGACAAAAACCCCAGAAAATACTTAACAATTATTTCTAGTCAACTGATCGATAAATCCCCTAATCATTTCAGCTCTTAAAGGAATTGGGACCAAGATGCACTGACTGGAACATGTACTGCTCTGTGATGGACAAACTTTGTCAACACTGTTTTTTATGACATTTTATTACTCCAGTTTCTTGTAACAGATCAGACATGCTGTGTGCTAATACCAATATATTGTCTGTGTGATATAATTTCTGTGAAAGGTGCTGAGCACACATTTATTGTATGTATATTAAACATGTCAGAGGCTGAACCATAAATCCATGGTTGTTGGTTGACTAGATGCTATCGGCTTTGTAATGAACATGCCCACTCTTTAGGAATTCAAAGCTCGTTCCAGTAAAGCCTGTGTCTGCTACGTCCTGCACAGATGTGTACAGATTGTGTAATACACGATCTGTACACATCTGTACATAATACATTTCAATGAGACATATTGTATATTGCATATGTATATTGTAGGTATATATGCACCCGCATGATAAATAAAAAGCCTACACAACAGTCTTTATTCCTTACACTTAGTGTACAGTAATTGGAAGCTGATATTCATATCATGTTAGCTGCAAATGATGTATTGTTCACATAATCTATTAACATTTTTGATAAGAAATTAGTAAAAATAAGTCAGTTTCAAACCCCAAACAAACATTGTTTACTTATGTGATCTATAACTCCACGATACTAAATTTTTGAGGCCAATAGGCTACTGATGGGATAAATGCAATAATGGGCTGAGTGTGTTCTTTATTATTTTATTTACAGAAACACATGACATAAACAAACAAACAAACAAACAAACAAAGAATCTTGATACAGTGGGTACAACAATGTCTTTTTAGGCAGCAGATTGTCTGCACCCTTCCAGGTTTCTTGCAATTAAATCTAAAAAAATCTTAAAATAGCATACCTATCAGAAATAATTTCTGGTATCAAATGTCAAATTTGTTGGAACACTCAGTGAAGAAAAAACTGTTACGGGAAATGTAATATCAAAGATATTTTGCTGTGCTGTAATATAATATAAGCTTTTACAGAGCAGCTCCTAATGTCACTTTTATGGATTCATGGTAGAGAACGGATTCAGGGTTGCCCCTGAGAAATGTAGTGTCTCTGTGCAGTCCATCATTTGGCTCCAGTCACTGCCAAGAGAGTGGTGGAGGAGGGCGAGCAGGATGGAATACAAGCACATTACTGTACCTCAGTGCTACAACAAAATCAATCTGAATATGCCAATCTGTCCGGCCAAGTCTCCAAACAAAGTGCTGGCAGACTTGTGCTTAGCTGAAGCTGATCAAACAATAGTGTAGGCTTGAAAGAGAGACTCTAATGTGCTCTCAGTTTTATGATTTCTTTTGTAGAAATTATGTTCACTGATTATGAAGAACAAAGTCTTTAGTAAACATTTAAAGTACTCTTAACTAAGGGGGCTTTGACCAGGATTTTTAGGGCCAGTCACCGATTGATGGAAGCAGTATCGATCCATAATCATCAAGCCTTCTATTTATTGTGTAGCATTATTTATTTAACTGGTCCGAAAAACATAGTGTAAGTATTAAGAAACTATGATGAACTGACAACTGTTTATTGATTGGGCTTTAATATACTTAGACAGCATTGTGTCATATTTAAAATAGATATTGTAATTAGTAAGCTGAAAGGACAGCGTGAGGTAACAGGATATTACAAATGGCTCAGTCAGGGCGAGGTGGTATTGATTGTTGATGAAAGCCTGCACCTTGTCCACTGTTTCCACCACTGGGACCCACTAATGCTTTCTGCTGATGCATCGTATTAGTTGTACCCTGTTACAACTTAAACATAAAAGTACAAAATGCACTAATTAACGCAGTATATATGTGGTGCATTTCACACAATTCACTTATTCGATTACAGTGCAAGACTCAAATGAGTAAAAGATAGCTTTGTCCTTGAAAAAATATTCATCAACGCCTCTTATCATGGGATTCCATAGGGAATTGGGCCTATGACCCATTTTAGGCTCCGATCTATAAGGAACTTTTTCAGTTCAGGACTAATATTTAATTTAGTCCTGAACTGAACCCATGGTGTTTACTGACATTTCACTGGCAGGAAATCACATCCTTCTTCACTCGTATGCATGTATGTATGTGTGTGTGTGTGTGTGTGTGTGTATGTAGCATTGCATCAGATGACTAAGATCAATTGAAGATCATAACCAAGCTGGACCCCGAAGTACAACGACCAAGATTGCCAAGACTAAGTGACAAAGTACCCTCTGAAAGACTGCTAGAAGATGTGAATGCAGCACTACATACTATCCCTACTAAAGCCATAACCGAGACCAATGAGCTGATGTACACCACAGCAACAGTGATCCTAGAGATGCTTGGCTATAAGATGAACATCGCAAGCCACAAAGAGCATTACCCCCCATGGAGAAGAAGGCTAGAGGCCAAGATCAAGGCAACAAGAAGAGAGGTTAGTCAGCTCTCAGAGCTACAGAAAGGTGCAAGGAAAGGGCTACATAAGAAATACAACAAGTTGTAGATACCTGAGGCTCTGGAGACTGCCAAACAAAGACTTACAGCTCTGGCTACCCGCCTAAAGAGATACAAGGGAGAAGCAGAAGCCAGGAGAATGAACTGAATGTTCTCCGAACCATCTTAAGTGTACTCTCAGTGGCAGGGTAATAACACAAGATCAGATCCACCCAGGGCTGAGACTGAACAGTACTGGAAGAACATATGGGAGAGCACCAGGCCCTGAGATGATCCACACCTACTGGCTGAAGAAACTAACTGCACTCCATGAACGCCTGGCAGCACAAATGAACCAACTGCTGATGGATGGCACCCACCCAGAATGGTTAACCCAAGGACGGACAGTCCTGATCGTGAGGGATCCCCAGAAGGGAACAATCCCATCCAGCTACAGGCCAATAACCTGCCTCTGCACAACATGGAAGCTCCTGTCAGGC